CGAAACACTTCATGAAGTTATTTTTTATATCAAATGGCAGGCGTCTTGATGGTTATCATTAGCCCTTTAGTTGACTTCAGGCTTCACAGAGAAGAAGGAACATCAAAGCGAAAAAATTCGAGATGGTGGGGAGGGGGGGAACAGAAGAGTGTTTCAAAGATGTAAAAGAGACAGACACAAAGGCAGAGTGAAAAAGGTGAGGTGAGTACTGTGAAGTAGTCGAATATGACATACAATGGGGTCATGGTAGTTTGAAGTCAGAAGTCAACTGCCAGTTAATAGACTTTTGGCCGTATGAGTATACATTGCCCAAGGTGCACCACGTGGAGGTAAGTCTATCACACACCCCGCACTTCATAAAGTAGATTAGCGTATGTCATAAATGTATACATTAAAACACAGTAGTGGCTAGGCTAGATTGAAAAATGGCACCACAGAAAAAATGTCGTTGAATGCACATCAACCGCAAAATCGGAATTAATTGATTAATTGAATCCGATCTTTATGCACTTCGAGAATTTAATAACCTTATTGGCTTATGCATTGCATTTTCAAGCCATCATTAATTTAGGGCAGGTTCCTCTATCAAAGGATTATTTATATCACCTGCTCTCGCGAAATCTCCCAATCTTTAATGAATTAGCATTCGGAACTGCTCAACTGTATGACAGGAAGCCGCCAAACAGATCAGTTACAGAGATGCTGTTGTCTCGGGATAGTCCATTTTCGCAGTCTCTCCCTTATTAATACACGACTGCACATATTTCCTGATATCTTGGCGGTCAATTGAGCCATAAACTCCATTTGGTAAGGCGATACAAACACATCGAAATGGAGCCTGCCCTCTGGTTAGTGTGACCGTATCAGTTGTCTCCCAGATGCGTAAACTGCAGTCTAGCGCGATATGGTTACAGACCCAACCCTTCTAGTAGCGCAGCAGCATAGAATAGGTCATTTCAAAAAAATTTCAAGGCGCAGTGTGTACAACTCACTCGCCTCACTGATATACCTCGTAAATCCCATTTTCCAATTCCTTCATTTCATTTTTCGGCAGTTTTTTCATAACTTGAATATTCATACCAAGAAGTAAGTTAACTCATTTGCGAACGCATCTACTCTGTCTTACTTCTTTATTGTTAGTACAAACCATATCCCGGCTAGAAGGGAAGCACAAAGTTGTTAAGGGGGTAAACTTCCTACACTTTAATTCCAACCATGTACGTTATGACGCTATTCCAGAATAGTTCGTATAAGCATCTCCTAGGGACAGCATAGAGGGAAAATATTCGGTTATTGTTCCGAACTGCCCCCCCCCACTTCACTTAACATAATAATTATACAAAACCTATTGTCGAATAAAGTTGCCTTAATGGCATGTAGCATCCATTTAGTAGTACAGTACGCCGTAAAAGCCTGCCTCAGTAAGTCGGTCGCTATCTTTACCACTATTTAATTGAAATCTCAATGCGAAGTGGAATTCTGAGCCGCTACTCAAGAAAAAGGTACTGAGAGCCTATATCCCACCTTCACTCCATCTTTAAGGCAGTGGGAAATTTCATAAACTTGAAAAAGACCCAACATTATGATTGGCGATCGATTTAATTCGTTGTACGGCAACCCACGCAATTCTCCTATGATCCAAAACACTAATCATTTTTAAACTAACTAGTTACGATAAGAACGTTTCCCAAATCTATTGTAATTCAAATATTTCTGCACATTAAAGGTTTGAATCATACCCTGCTTGTGGTAAATATTTTAGAAACTGAAGGAACAGCTTTACCGCACAATTTGACTACCTTTAAGTAAAGTAGATCATTATGGAAAAAATTTTGCTGGGTAGTCCCCACAACAATAAACTTATTCTTCAAGACTACAAATTCAATTAATGTGCACAGCCACCCTAACATCAAGGACGGCACACAATAGAGCCCTTTTCCGTTATACATAGATCTACTCACCGACGGCATTATAACCGTTCCAACTCAATCACTCAATTTATTTCATTTCAGTTTACCTCAACCCCTGTTAATCGAAGAACACAGAACTCCTAGAGTACTATCATAATTTCGCATAGTTAGTAAAGCTTAAGTGGTCCTAACAATATCCGCAATGTAGGGATAGATCCAATAACTACTTCTGAACACCCCTGTTAGTCCACCAAAACAAAACACTAGATATTGAATAGTCAACTGTTAGTAAGGCATTTTAAATGACTGTCCACCAATATTTGTATGCTTGGATATGTGAGCGCCAGGAGGGTTCTAACATTTCTGAACAAGAAATAGTGACAAATAAGGAATGAGAATTACACGAGGGGAAAATAAGAACAAGGATTGAAAAGTAGTAGTGAAAAGGACTTCAGAGAGATGGAGTATACGAGAATACACATATAACATGTAAAGCGACTCACAGAACGACGAGCCAAAATGCGTGTATAGAAAAGTGAACATGAAGGAGACAGAGAACTACAGCAAAATTCAGCTTTTCCCGTGAGATTGAGTGGATGAGTAAGGATTTTGAGATGATGGGAGAATCTGTTCAGAGAGACCGGTGTTGGAAGGACCGGCGGAATTTTGATCTCCAGGAGGAGCCAACGGGTCTGAAGTATTGGCATTAAGAGAAGGAGGAGCAAGAGGAGGATTGGCGTTATTGGAAGCAGGCTGGGGTGATCGAGAGTGGACGAGTCGCACGTGACGTAGATTATTGAATACCGGAATCCCTCCCGCGGCAGCAGCGGCTGCTTCTTCGTTGAAGAATCCGTCATCATTTTCTCCCACCCCTGTTTCATCTTCTTGGTTGGCATTTGAGGTCGCGTCCATGTGAGTAAAATCCCAGATAAGGATCGAGTCGTCATGAGATGAAGAAACTATCTGGAAGTCATCAAACTGCAATCGAAAAACTCGGCCTGTGTGCTCATGGAGCGTACGGATGCAAAGTTGATTGGCTCGAGAACGAGGATTCAAAGCTGCCTTGAAGTCCCAAACCTTTATTCGCCTGTACAATTAAAGGAGAGTTAAAACATTTCATGGATAACTACTGTGCACTAGGACAGTTGAGTAACTCAAACTTAACTTGAGAATATTGATGTAGCTAATAGTAAGTAAAACAAGTATAGGTAAATGTTATTCTCCGATAAGTACTTAATTAGTTATCTATATCCGCTGCATTTAAACAAAATGAAAGCACATTTACAGACGACAATCGCAGCCAATTACGCCAATACTATATGGATGATTGCAAAACTCTAGCTAAAAAAGTGTAAATGAGAAATGACTGAGATGTTTTATTATTTCCAACACTTTAATGAAGTGCGAAATTATTATAATAACTGCAAATCATCTATTCAATAAATCAAGTCGACTAAACCATTGCTGTCTTAATGCCAACCTGAAAGTCGTAATAAACAATTAAATAGGAATAATTAATAATTATAATTGATTGAATTTTTCGGGTATAAATACTACCACTTTCACACGCCATTAACTTGATGTAAACACATGCTAGGAAAAGTTAAACGGCCGTTTTTATTGCAGCACACGAGAATGCAATTATTGAATATGTGAATAAATTTGTGGAAGAGGCGTTTACAACCACACAGAAAATGCGCAGTACACGAATCATTGTGATAAACAGACGATATCATTAGAAAATGAACGACTTTGAGTGGGGTTCTAAATGGATAGCCTATCCAATTTCTAAAAATATGGAATCCCAATGCAAAAACGACTCAATTGAGAATTGGCGAAGACTTAATCAAATATAAGAAAATCGAGACCTGCTCATTCAGACAATCAGAACACGGCCAAAAGACTAAAACAAGACGTATAGAAAAAGGTTTGCGACATACTGTTCTATATCCAAAATGATGGGAAAGGGTAAGGCGTAGCATAAAGAAAATATACTAGATAATCCATCTTTCCCTAACTTTATAGCGTGCATTTTAAATTTACCCGGAAGGTCTAATGATGACCGAAGATTGGGAGAGTATAGAAACATATCAACCAAACGAAAACCATTAAGACTTCGAATATAACCCGAACAAGCAGTGAAAAAATTGAAATGGATTTAAATCCTTTATTCATTTACTCCCAGCGGAAAACATGATAAATAGAACCAGGTGGATATACTTTTATAAAAAAGCAGATATTAAAAATAATCGCCATTTTGAAGTATTTCCTTACGAATTCAAAGAATAAGGTTCACAAAGACTAGGCAAAAGGGGCTAGTTTACGCCAATAACTAGTCACTTATAAAGGCTTAAAAAGTGAAGAGGTAGGTCATTAACTTGAAACTCGATGTGACAAGTCAATATTGAAGACTCTCGTGAATCACATCACCTGATAAATTTAGAAAAAATGATGTGATTCCACCAAGATCTCAGGCATTCATGATTTCTGAGCTCATAAACAATCACACAAAGCACGTGGAAAGACTATGGCTGCATTGATGAAACACATGTTTTTTTCAATTAAATGAATTTTGCATTACCATATTTACACACGTAATTAGCTTGAAATTAAAAAAAACTACACAAAGACATCAAAGAAAAGTGATCATTGCTTCAGCTGAAAAAAAGATGACACACATCTATTATTCAAGGTCCGAGGATTTCATGACCTTCCTTTGAGAACAAAATTTTAGGGCTCAAATGGCGTATATGAAAATAAAAAAGAGCTCAGTCTTATGGTGACACTTTAGCAAATGTCAACAGAAAGAAGTGCGGTGTCAAATGAATCGTTAGGCTTGAGTCTCAAAGGTGCATTATGCATGTTTAACAGGCTGCCAAGAAACGACACAACTGCTTTCATAAACACTTTAAACACATTATCGAATAAAGAGCAGTTTCCTTCTACAACAGCTTTGTACTTGATAGCTTAATCGAGATGAAACTTCCACAACAATAACCAGTGTTTGAATATGCACTCTTCTTGAAACGCGCAAATTATGATCAAATCAGAAAATGTTTTGAACCAAGGCATCGAAATTGTAAAAAGAACTGCGTTAAGGTAAAAAATGCATTTTTTGCGTATTTGGTGATTCCTATCAATGAACTTTTGGCGGACAGCGAATGCAAAAAACATAGTTACGCTTAAGCACTTGTGGAGTGCGTGCTAAATAGCTATGACTAATTTTGACAAATGCATGGGATAATTAAGAACCCCACGTCTAAAGTAGAGAGGTGATGTTCATTTATCAATTTAACCCTTAGAGATAAATAACGAATTAAAACGATCAGGATGTCAGTTTTCTCAATCTCTGAATTCCTCCCAATCTGAATATAAGAAAATCTACCGGAACTGGTAATACTTAAGAAAGCAGCAAAGACGATGCAAAGAATTATCATTGCTGCAAAGTGATTACATAGTAACATGTGAATATAGAGATTAAAATAACTAGCTGAAGGATCGGTTAAGAAAAACAGTGAAAGGAAAGTTACAGACTTGCTGCAGGTAAGATTAGCTACGGGGAGTGAAGGACCTACAACTATTGCTTACATTACCCATAAAGAGTTTAGTAACTTCACAAGTCGTCACTAGAGGCGATCTTTCTATCCCATCGTCGCTCCCTTGAGGTTAAGCCGCACAACAGTTGCCATAAACATATATTAATGAGACTAAAAGAACAATGCATCTTCCGACCTTAAATGGTGCTTCCAATTACCTAACGCCTTTGTGAATGGATGGAATGACTAGGGACTTGAAAAGTTTAATCTAATGACCTCGAAATTAAGAACCAGTAATACATAAGTAGAGTTTTTGCAAAAAAGTGGCAGTGTGCTGGGTTTATTTGATACAATATGCAATACTTTTATGAAAGAATTGACCAAGTTCTTTAAACTCCTACAACGACTACTGTGCAATGGAGCAAAATATTCCTATAACGAAATCCTAGTTTGCTTCATGGCCATAATAGTAAGTTTTAAAACTGAGTTGAAGTAGTAGTTCCAATAAAAGGGCGTATTGGCAGGCATTTCAATTGGCGTAAAGGGATTAATTAGATATCGGTAGACAATCAACCATGTAAACAGGAGAATGATAGGATGTCTTAAGTTCATGGGTCTTCATGTGTGGAACATGGCAAGAATCCCGTTCGGCTGTGAATCGTAAAACAAAAAAAGCTCAGCGACTAGTGAGACACCTCGATTTTGATTGCATTAAGCCTTTCGCTTTGACATTTTGGAATTTTATGGGTTCTAAAATATTAACTGGTGGAATTCGTAACTACGAGCTATTCAGTTAGAGAAGAATTAATAAGTTAGTTATTCAAAACTGGATGAATATTATTTTGTAGCCTATGGAAATAAGGAGAAAAGACGTTTGATAAGGAGCGGATTAAGCTTCCCTTAAAGATGTTGACAACTAACTACGCCGGTAGTTGAAAATAATTCAAGGTCATTGTAATGAAGCAAGATACCACGAGTGGGGTGAAAGTAAAGTTAGAAACTAACAAGATCAGATTCCGCATGTATTTTGTAAATAGCTAAATATGTCATGAAAAAATAAGTAAAAGATCTGGGTAGTGTCATCAATAAATTGTTTGCACAACAAAGCGACAACAAACGGCTTACAAGGTTTATAATGAAATTTGAAAATTATCAATTAGCCATTCGTATTTAATGCCTTGTAAACAACAAAAACCGTAAAACCGAATATAAATTCATAAATTTTATATCAACAAAATCAAAAATTTATCGCAATTCCAAAAATAAAACATGGAAATTCAATAATTAAAAAAAATCATACCCATCATAAGCGCCAGAAACAATCCGTTTGTTGTCGAAACGAATGCAACGAACTAGTTCATCGTGACCTTCAAGAACACGGAAACAGACACCCGTTTCAATATCCCAAATGCGAATTGTGAAATCTGAGGAGCCGGAGACCACATAAGGGGAGCGATACTGCAGACAAGCAATTCCTCTTCGATGGCCTGACAGTGTGCGAATCGGACTTGTTGTGGATGTATCCGTTCTCCAGACCTACAAGGGGTAAACAAGAACATACAACATTGTTGATAAACCACACATCTACAGAAAAACAACATTAATTTGAAACATCGCGATAAAACTCGTGGTGTGATCAACTTCTAGTAGCAATTAACGTCGTATATTAACACATAATTTGATTCAAATAAGGTACGTCGCAGAATGATGAAATGGCCAACATGCATGTCCTACATAAGAACTAACTTTCATTTGAATAGCCAAAGCGCACCGAATGAGGATGGTCAACAGGAAGTTGGTAGAATGGAATAACCACCGACAAGGAAGTTTGTGAAAGGTAGGAAATCATATTAAGTGCTTCGTTCTCAATAAAATAACATTACTAGTAGGCATGAAACTGAAGATCCAATGTTGGCGAGTTGTAAGATGGTACGATGCAAAGGACCCCACAACATGAGGTGCGCCATATACCAATATATTGACGGTTTGAGGTAACTCAAATCAGTTAGCTCTTAAAAAATGAAAAGGAAACAAACAAAATTGTGGTTTGCATCGCTTGGTGGGGGGGGGGGGGGGGGGGTAAAAATATTCAACAGCCTGGCAAGAACAGTAGTGGAATACGTTTCCACTTTTTGGAACTTATTAACTAGATAACGTAGCGTATAATTAGTGATGAGCCTGTTTAATGACGGTAAAAATCTAACCATATAATTGCTTCTCGTACAGATAATAGCAACATCAATTCTCGCCCGCTTTAAAAAATTATGGTAGAGCAATTAAAGATGAAAATTAGAATGTGAAATAGAGTTCGAAGTTAAGAACTTACCTTGATAGTACGGTCACCACTAGCGGATACAATATAGCGCTCATCAAAGTCAACGACATTGACAGCTGCTCGATGGCCAGGGAGAATTGTTCGAAGTTGGATATCCTTTGGTTGGTTGCCCATGTCCCAAACAGCGATATTTCGATCCTAAAACGGGTATTAATAAAGTTAAAAAGTATGCTATTATCGATAGCAAGCATTGACCTAAACGGAGATTACTAGTTCCATCTTTTGCGTCTGACTTCATTGGTGGTCTACATTAAAATAACCCCGTCACTAACGTTAACTATGCGTAGTGTTTTACACCATCCCATTTGATACACGTCAACGCCATTGACAACTTCTCAACTTTCCGCTACTTTGGTTTGTGTTAAAATTTGATAAAAATTAGGTTTAAAGCATCTTAAGTAGTCTCTACACTTTAGACACTGGCGAGTACCAAACTAGTCTCAATTTAAATAAGCCTAAATAGTTGGTAATAAGTCAAACAGATTCACAAAAACACGTAGGCCCACGCGACAAGTGTAATTGATGTTGCGCGACAGACTATCCGTAAAATGTTTAACTCACCTTTGAGCAAGTGACGAGGATCTTATTCCTGAAACGCAAATGCAACACAGCTTCATGATGCTTTTCGAGGATATGAAGACAATCGCCAGTAGAGAGATCCCAGAGTCTCACTTTTGAATCACTGGATCCACTGATAAGTAAATCGCCCTCATATTGGAGACAGAGTACAGAGCCCGTGTGGCCTCGAAGTACTTGTGTGCATTGATAACCGTCTCCTTCTGTCTGTGAAGGATCGGTTGCTTGAGCAGAGGTAGCAGCAGCAGCAGCACTGGTATTTTCTTCCATAGAGTTGATAGATTGCTCTCCTACAGTTGCGGCACTGTTATTAGTGTTGGAGACGTGTGGGGCAACACAGGTTGCTGGGGTACCAACTCGTCGCCAAACTTTGATTGTATCATCCCGCAAACCAGAAACAATCTTCTCTGAGTCGTATTGAAGACAATAAACCCCTCTGGAGGAATCGCTATGACAAAGGATGCGTGTTAGACGGAAACGACCGTTATTCCAATTGTCGTTTATACGCTACACAGAATGAAGAAGAATAAATAAGTAATTCATATGATTACGTCTTCAAATACTAGTTTTTCTCAATATATCAGGAAGCGAAAATAACAAAATATAGGCTAGCATTGCAAGTGTGAACAACTACGATAGGTATCTCGACACTTCCTTAGAACTAACAGGTACCGATAGGAATAGGAGCAAATGAATGAAAAGCCTAAAGGCAGGTAAAATAGCAAGCAACTTTCAGTAGAGGAGAAAATTCAGGTATTTCTTAAAAAAAGGAAGGATCACATTGATTCATTGGGTAAAAAACGAAAGGGGAGTATTTCTTGTGCTATTGAATATATCGTCATGCACTTAGAAAGCAAACAGTTGTATGTATAATACAAAATTAATAAATAACCGGACAGATGGCAAACTGAACTTCAGGTGTCTTAAAATAAGTTCATGAATTTCACTAAAACTTAGAAGAAAAGCAAACCATTGATTACTGAGTTGGAAAGCGTGAAAATATTTATCGAAATGATCTCTCGGATATAATGTAAAAGTTAGGTTATTGTAGTAGAGTATGGGAGTTGCACAAAATGATAGGTTTAAATATTACCCATTCAATAATAACGTAGAAACTAAAATTTGATGAAAAAATACCAACTCACATCTATCTGTTCGATGAAGTCTTCCGAAATGAAAAATGGTTTCGTACTGTTATTTTAAGGAAAGTTCACTAGACATATGCCAACGTGAAAATGTAATGATGATAAAGTACAACATTTTTCCTGAGAAAATTAATATTGCATTTGCATTTCATTTCCATTATTTTTAAAATATCGACTAATTCTTAAATTATTCATGTAAGCCAATACGAATACTGTTATATAGGACGAACTTAATGCAAATACATACTACAAACTTAAATGCATTTAGCCATCGAGAACTTGTTATTTTTTGTTCTTACTAGCAGAGACATTAGCATGTAGGTAGTAAAAGCCCGTTAATGAAAAGGTGAAAGAGTAATAGAAATCAGCATTAGGCATGTGCATTTGGTAGAATATGGATAACGAAAGCTAAATAAATTGCCAGAACTCAAAGTAAAAGAAGAACCCGAGTAATGTGAAAATCTAAACACTTAATACCCACCTCAAGTAGTTGATATCATAGGCAATCACTGAATCGACAGATTGGACATCGAGGGCGCTATCGTAGTAGCAAGTGTACGTCTGAACCGAAATAAGTTAGACGCCACTCAAGATAAGTAAATAGTTAGGTCACATTCCTTGACTAGGGTAATCGCCTACATTCTAAGCAAACACAGATGACCATGACCTCTTGAATCGGCATAAAATCTTTTACCGTCTGCATTTTATTGAACTTGGTCTAAATCAGACATATGTCAAGTTCCTTAGAAAATAAGCACTCATACCAGTTTTGATTATTGGACCTGGAAGACGTATTAAACTCCTCTTCCAACTTGGAATTGGTCATTAAGTGGCTCTTTAATTGAAAGTTAGTCACCTGAAGTAGGGTGACGGCATTGGGGCAAATCAGTTACCAATAGGATGCGTTAAACGTACGTTGCACAAAACAAACTCGATATCAAAATAGCCTCATAAATATGACGAAATCAATATAAAAAAGGTTAGTAACTCGTATTTTATCATAACCATTATGACATTTCTATTATGTCTTCCTCTCCAGGTATATTGGATTGAAAGTTCAGTGGCTCTTGTGAAAACTTACGCTGATGCGGACTAAATACGGTAGACATCCTAGTGGGCAATTTAGAATGACAATCAAATGGGAGCTTAAATTGGTTCGCAGAAGAATCCTCATTCTAAGTTTCAATTAGCAGCTCAAAAAAATGAGTCACGAACACACTGCACACATATAGGCCTATCAAGCGTTATGTCAATGCTGACACTCTCTAAACAGCAGTAAAATGATGGGCGTTAAGACGCCGCCACGATAAAAGTACAGAGTGGAGAGCAAGTGACGACAATAACACCTAAAGTACGCACATGAAGCCAGGGGAAGTGATGAGGGTTAATAACGTAAACAACTACCCTTTATGACTTTATTCAATTAGAATCTTCCTTGATGGTACCATGAAAATGTGAATGTTAGAATAAAAATGGAATAGAATATCTCAATGGGCTTTTATAGAGTTTCTACCAATCACCCAAGGAACAAAAAGGCACCATTTGACTGTAAAAAAGGAGTGCTTACAAAGACAACCAATTATTAAAGAATTTTAATTATAAAGTGTAAAACAGTAGTGTTGTAGCTAGATAAAACTATAGTGAATTCTGAACCCACTGGCAACTAACCTATATAGACCAACCAAATCATTTATTATTTTACAAATAAAGGGAGATATCGAATGATTATCTACAGTACATTACTAGAGTAGAAATGAAAGAAAATCAAGGAAACAATACGACGAGGCAATCCAGCAATACACAGGATCACTTACAAGAGGAAATAACAGCAAATGAAGGCAATAAATCCTCAAGCATCAGTGAAAGAAAAATTAAACACTACAATACTGGGGAAATCACATGTGGTAATGGGTGCACACCCATATGCATATGAATATCGTAGTACTGCTACGGAGAAACACTCATTTCACTTTCCCACAGCTGCTAATTTCAAGAATTGAGTAGCTGTGAGAATATTCTCAATATGCCAAACACGAAGCCTGCTTTGTGACCTACACTACAGATGACAATAGTTAAAATCTCACTAGTAATTAATAGTCGCTTGAAGAACAGTTACGCAAAATTAAATTAGTTAAAATAGGCACTTAATTCATTCTGTAAATCGCTTAGAATGAAATCATCCTACTAATTAACCACTCTGCTAAGGAAATACAAGATCTACATAAATAAGAATAACTGAAAAATATCTAATTTGACCAACATTAATAGGTGAATGATAAGGTTGCCGGAATATTAAGAAACCAATAATAGTAGAGTTAAAATGATACATAATTAGAAAAAGTTGTGTATTAAACACAGACCTTAGAAAAATTTGTAATACATTAACCAATCTAACTACTTTTTGAGTTTACTATTTTGTCAGTTGTTGTTCTAAAATGGACCTTATATAAATCATTTTTGTAAAATTTAAAATTAGGATCAATTGGACCTTATCGTTATTTGAAAAACCAATCAGTCTAGACAAGTGACCCACAACGTAACCTCCCTTAATGACTCGATTAACATGGGAATAAATTGCTAAATTCGTGATATATTCTCTACGACTGATTCTCGTCGGAGATTGTTTAACCACACTGCCAATTTTTACATTGTAAAGATGGGTGTGCGATAGACTTACCTCCACGTGGTGCACCCTGGGTAACGTATATTCATACGGCAAAAAAGTCTATTAACTGGCAGTTGACTTCTCATTTCAAACTACTATCACCTCACTCTATGCCATATTCGACTATTTCCACAGTACCCACCTCACCTTTGTTCTACCTTTGTGTTTGTCTCTTACATCTTTGAAACACTCTTCTGTTCCCCCCCCCTCTCGACTTTTTTCAATTTGATGTTCCTTCCCCTCTGTGAAGCCTGAAGTCAACTAAAGGGCTAATGATAAATATCATAAAGACTGTCATTTGAAATAAATACATTGTAAAGATTGTCATTCAGGCTAAGTATTTATTACAAGCATTTAGCAAACAATAAAGAAACATATTACGATAAATATCCTAACTAAATTAATTAGAGTATTTCTAAATAATAATAATAATAATGTTGGGAATAATATTTTAGCAACAAAATAACGAGGTGGAAAAGCAATAAAGATATTTTCACTAATAGCTGGAGAGAAGCCAATCAGACACCAATTCTCCCATGATGGGAAAG